ACTATATAAACTAATCTTTTTTGTGTAAATATGTCTACTAATTTTGTTTGGTTGAAATACAAATATTAGTTAATGGTTGGGAGTGATCGATAAATCGACGATAATTGGTGTCTATCTTCCCGTCGGTAACAAACATTCAGTGTCTATTGATCGAATGCGTGATGACACATTTTCTATACGTGTGTGTACGATTGTTTACAATCGGCTCACCTGTACTCGAACATAGCTTGTGTAAAGATACGCATTCATTTAATCACTTTTATTATGAGAATATATATTGTAACATACGTAAAATGATGCAATGTTTTCCATAATATCAATACTAACACTTACTATTTTTCATTTTATTAAAGTTTCATCAGAATGTGAATCGAATGCAACATTATGGACTTATTATCCTTGTTCATTTACTATTTCTTCAACATCATTTTGTCAATATGTATCAATTAATTCATCAATTGATCAATGTATAAATAGAGAAATGACATTTTTTTGGCATTTTCCATTTGGTAATATGACATTAACACTTCAATCACATAAGAATCAATCATTTTTATTACGTTTATCTAAAACATTATTATTAACAAATAAATTAATTAAAAATATTTATCATCTTGCAAATAATAAAACATTAGAAGAACGATTAATATACAATAATGCAAATGCAATAATTACACTTTATTCAGATAAATATAATCAATGTTCGATAAGATTTGAAACAATGAATCCAAATATTTTTGATTATGGAACATTTATTCACATGAAAGTTTTAACTGATGAGAGTGAAAATCTTTAAAATTGTATAAGAAATTATTGCTTTTTTTTTTGAACAGTAGAAAAAAAAGAATAAATTAATGATATCAAAACTTTCAAAAAAGTATTATGAAGTTTATTGTCAAGTTTAATCGATTGAGTTTACTTTGTAGAATAATTAAATCATGAATAGTAATGATAGATGCTATCAAAAATGTGAATGATTAAGAGAAATAAACTTAGAATTTGAAAACTATTGTGATTATAATCTTTATCAATAATTAATGAAAATAGATCAAATTTTATCAATCATTTAATAGACAACTTTTCATTATTCTCGTATTCAAAGAAAAAATTATGAAATGTAATTTAGTTCAATAAATTAATTATATTAGTTCATTTTTCGAACTTTTCATATATAATAAATAAAATTGATTGTGAATGTACAAACATTGCATATCGATATTTATATGTTCGTACTGCATCTGATCAACTGGTTGAAATTTTCATAATACATAAGATGTAAATAATAATATAGAAAGAATTTATTCTATGAAGACTTTATTATATTCTTCAGAATTCGACGATTTCTAATGATCTGTTGGATAGACTTTCAAATTCTTCGATACTGTAGACATTATGGATTCTTCGTAACAAAACAAATACAAATCAATTTTTGAAAGTTAAAATAAAATACTACGTTTCTAGTAGAGAGATGAGATTTAAATGTGACGATGTAAGAGCTCAGTGATGCTAGAATAATATGAATGGATTATCAAACTCTTCTATTTTATTCATAAAAATATGTAATGAAAAGACATAGAAATAAGAGAAAAAAAGAGAAGGGAACATGTTCAAGGTGAAAAATATTAACATAACTTCATATTTATATAAACGTGTTCATTTTGAAAAAATTGCGGACGACTAGAGTATGATAGATGTAACATGAACAAAGTGATGTAACAATTCAGAATCTGACAACAAACACATAATAGTAGAATCAATTAGAACAATCAAAAGAGAGAGAGTGGGAAGCAGATCAACGAAAAAAGTATATGTGAAAGATAGATACTGTAATATATTCAAGTAATGAAGTTCTTTTCGTTTATTAAGAAAACTAATCTTACCTAATTGGTTTTCTTTCGTATCTTGAAAAATAGATGACCAAAGAAGTCTGTTCTAACGTTGGCTGAAGACCGTTTAGGTTCATGTTGTGTGGAAAGCTAGTATAAATTGTGAGGCTTGAGAAAAAATATTCGTTAAAGAAGAAATCACAGACTTTATAGTAAGCTTTAAGATAAAATCTAAACCATCATGAACTCTTTTGCCGTAGCCTGTTATCATAAAGATCTAAGAGATATCCAATCGTAGAGCTTACTTTTTTCGATCGAATTCAGAATGACGACCTAATGTTCTGAAGCAATGTCGCTCCAGCAGAGACACCTAATTGGCTGATTTCATTTGCGGAGAAAAAAAATTTAATCAGAAATGGTAGCGTCAATGTGAGTTTGATTCTTTTTGGTCCCCATACTTCACACTCTTTATAAGAATCTACTTGGCATATTTCGTTTCCATTAGCTGTATGAATTCAATGATAAGCCTTTAAATCAAGATCAACATCTTTCATTAAATGTATTTGAAATGGTTGCTGCTTGGTTGATATTCATCAACTGCGCATTTTTCTGAAATTGTAAAGACGTAGCAACTATTAATCCTAGTCAATGGTGATTAGAAAATTATTGGATAAAGAAAAATAATCAAAATAACATGTCGTATATTTAACTGGATTTTTTTATTATAAGAAGGATTGGATATTTATACTCTTTAACATGCATCTTTATCCATTGCAAAGATATTTATTTGACTATTGACTAATGTATTGGAATATAATCAAGCAGTTTTAGTATCAAATAAGTGAGTTCAAGTCGATCGCGAAGAACAATAAATATAATAGCTTCTTTAAAACGTGTCTATCTTTATTCTCTTATCTTATCATTTTATTTTTATCATCTTTATTCTTTATTATTTTAATAACAAGATCAAATGCCTTTTAAGAAAGATACAATACATCGAAGTTAAAAAATAACCAATTGATATCAAATCAAAAGAAGAAGATTAAACTAAACGATTAGAAACATAGTTATGCGAGATATTACCATTATACGTAGCATTTATAAAAAGTTTGTGAAATGTTTATGTATTAGATTGTCTTTAAAGCTTAACTGTTTGTCGATAAGCATGATTATAATAATGGTATGAAGAATCGGCTAGATTTGTTCGTGATTTACTTGTTTCATTTGATAAATCCTCTTCATCTCTATCATGTTGTAACCATTGACACACAACCATTGAAATAAGAAAACCAAGTAAAACAACAAGAGCTGCACATAGAACAGCAAGAGCAATGATAATACGTTGTTTTAATGATTCATTTAAATAAATTTGATTAACATTTTGTTGACTTTCATTGCTCATAAAATCGGTAATTGTACGGCTTGGTATAGTTAATGAAACATGTTCAATTAACTTTTCTTCAATTTCATATGTAGTTGCTGATAAAGGAACTGTTGTTGTCTCTTCATCTTCATCTTGTGACCGAACAAAATAAACAACTACAAAAATATACGCAAAGAAAAAAAAGCTTTTGTAATCAACAATGTCTCTTAAATGTTTGTAGGAATTTAACAAAGCATAGTTTTACTCAAATCATAAAACCTTACTTCTGTGAATAGAAATAATGCATAAAAGAAGATGCCACCAAAGCATTTCTACAGAATAACGGTTATCAAATGATCAATATATGTATATATATATATATGTTGAATCGAATGATATACTGTTCTCGTCTCTTTTTTTGTCTCACAATGCCAAGAAAAACAAATTCGAGCCCTAATATGAGATTAAAAGACGACGATATCAATGACCAATACCAAAAAAAAACGTATAGACATGCATTCACACTTGATTAATATCTTCATCTTACCATGTACACAAGCATAATCACAACAAGTATTCTCTATATCTGTATTCGATGTCTCTTTGCTCTTTCCTTTTTTTTCTGATGCTGTTGATATTTGATCGTATGATTCAAAAAGTTATATTACAGATAATGATGCATACAATGACAAAAAAAAACAATATGCGACGAATATAAAATTATATATTTATCAACTCTTTTTTTTT